AAGTTGAAGGTCACAGCAAGTGTTTTCTTATTTCCAAGGAAAAGATTTTAAACAATTTCTGTTTCACATGAATACAAGAATCGGTCTACTAATAACACGGCGCTATTGGTACCCACTGGAATTCCATTAGATTGTTTGTATTACAACCCTCTGAAAACAGATGAGGGGTCAGGTGCCATGGAGGTTAGCAACAGATGGTCACACCTACCCTTTGCTCCTTTTCAAGTTTAAATAATGGAAAAATCTGTAGACAATTGGAAATACTGACTCAAAATAATTTGAAAAAAATCTGTCAATATGCAAACTAAAACGGCATTTTACTGACCACAGTATTGATGATATGCTGGTTTTAAATGAAAGTTGATATCATCGACCTATTGGTCAATACACCTGATGTTTTAGAAACCATGTCTTTGATTACTCTCTCCTTTTTTGTATTGTTTAATGGACTTTGATATTGAATATTGTTCGTTATCTCCATATACTTCACCTTCATTTTAGAAATTGTTTTCATATTGCTTAAAGAAACAAATGAAAGACATAAACTCCTAAATGTATGTATACGAATATTTTACTTCCATGAGATATCATTTAAATACAAAATAATTTATTTTTAAGTTATGTACTTTAGTGCGCAGAATTCATATAAAGGATCCCCTATGCTATATATAAACATATTTGTTAAGATGTCACATGTCCGTGTTGATCACGTAACGATCATTTCTTCTATTTTGGAATGTTTCACATAAAGCGCTTCGGCGCAGGTTGTTAACACGATTTTTATAAATTTTTGTCACATAAATAAACTCGTTGCATCCTTGTGAAACCGAAATGTGCTTGGGAAATGTTATACTATTTCTTTGGAACAATTTATTTCAGATTCACTTCAACTTACCGACAAATCTGCAGTTATTTTCCGCCCAATATCGTCAACTGTTTTAAAAGAAAGCCATCATTCATTTTTCCCAAGCAAGATTCAGTTAGAGTGGAACTCTTCTTACATAATTCCACAAAAGATATTAAATAAATCCTGATTTACAACCTGCGCCAGGCTCTTTTACACACATATTTTGAATTCTGCCTCTGTCCACGGGTATAAAAAAGGGTAAATGTCAAACGTATATTTTCGTACGAAGTTTGAACACGCTGACTCTTAAACAAGCTAGGTTATCTATATTAACCCTCTTACTGCCAGAACTGTGTCTAATTTGTGCAGTTGATACGCCAGAACTTTTGCTTACATGTACAAGTATCAGAATGCATTGGATATTCTTTTAATGAAAAGCAACATCCTAAAGATAATTTTTGATTGTAATGATTTTACAAATTTATAACGAACACAGGGACATTTCAATTCTGATTTAATTAATGACGTCAGCTCCTTTGCTAGTATTACGTCACAGTCAAAAAAAAATCCGCGTAATCTGGCAAAAATTCATAATGTAAAAGAATACGAAAAATAGAAACGTTTTTTACAATAAATAAATTGTTTTTTGTTTCGTTTTACGCTATTCAAAATTGCTACTTATAAATCTTCGGAGAAGAGAATGAGTACTATTATTAAAAGGTATTTTAATTATAAATTCAACACTATTTTATGGAATTTTGCTAAGGAAACGTTCTGCAAATACGCCCCTGTCTTCGCTTACAGAAACATTGTCCTTGGTGTCCGTTCAAAGAGTTTAATTAGTGGAGTATGCATACCAAATATGAAGTTTCTATCTTTAACGGTTCAAAAGTTATGGCGAAGGTTAAAGTTGACAACAAACAGACAGAGATACAGACAGTCAGACAGACAGACAGGACAAAAACAATATACCTCCCGAATAAATGCGGGCACATAAAAATTTCAAAAACCCCGACAAGCAGAAAAAAAGAAGAAGAAGGAAAACGTCTCCATTGCCCAAACATGAAATCCCTATTTCGGCGGGGTGGGATGTAGGATCGAACTTCTTACAGTACCATTATTTTATAAAAACTTTTTTGACCTAAAGTAGAACGTACATGTTAAAAGAGGGGGATGGGCGCTAACTTATGCCACCCCTAGCCCCCCCCCACCCCCACCCGGTTCCGACGCCTACAGTGCACATGTTGAATACATGTACATGTAGCATAAACTTACCTTTTAAATGTCAAAAATACATTGTACATCGGCACTGTCAACAATTTCAAAATGTAAGTCAAAGGTCAAGTGCAAAGAATATTGTATGTGCAAAATATGAAATTTATGTACCTCTTATAGTTCTTGAGATACTAGTATAAGGTTTGACAGACGGACAAACAGACAGACGCCGGGTAAAGTGATCCCTAAATGTTCTACAGGCCACACAAAAAGTATCAAAAAAGAAGCCGATTTAGCCGAAAAGCAGGGGAAGGGGGCTATAGCAAACGACACACACACACACGCTTGTTACAAATACTTGTAAAGGGGGGAGGGGGTAAATAATGTAATCACGTAATAACATTTACAAAACAAAGCTTTCTTTTGGTTTGTGAATGAAACCTAATTCAAAGTACTTTAATACATCAGTAACATTTAAGTAGTACATAATTTCACCTTGATATAACTAAAGAATATAAACGCCAATGAATTTTTATTTTCGGAACATTCTGTTTATTTGGGAAATTGTTCCAGATGCATATAGAGTTCATCTTTGTTATGGCCGTAGGAACCGGAAGGGGAGGCTTGAGGGACTGTAACCTCCCCTCAATTTTGTCGATATGTATGAAACCGTGGAAAACATAGTAAGTTTATGATCACTTTATGATTGGGCTCAGTGATAACATAAATAACGTCTGCAGATGGACCAAATTTTAGAAATGATTGTCAAATTTTGCTAATCCAGGCATAATTCTGTTCAAAATTGCTAGAAAATTTTAAGAAGGGTATTCTTTAAAACGAAATCCCAAGGCACTTCTGAAAAATACCGTACAAAATTTCGGAAACATATGGAATTAAAGAAACACACAGCTTACGCGTATTTACAGGTGTGAATAAGTATAACTTGAATAGCGGAAAATTTTAATCTTTATAGTTTAATTTATTTGCATGGAGTGTTAAAAAAATTAAGTAGACAGGTCGGCTGTAGATGTTTATTTCATTGGTATAACTGGACAAAGATAATGTGGATGCTTTTCTGACTCAAGCAAAGGGGTCTGGAGCTGCATTAATTAACAAAGCGGGGGGAGGGGGGGGGGGGGTAAACAGAAATTGACAACATTAAGGAGTGTTTGAGTCCCAGAGTGTACAGTGTGTTAATAATGTAAAATCTTGAATTTATATTTGAATATACAGAAACAAATGTTTTTAAAAACATTTTCTCTTTTTTCCTCTTTCTTTTGGAAATTTTTAAGGGGTGGGTGGGTTTGTTAATTTGAATGCTTTGACATGCACGCTTGCACAGTGTGTGTAATATATAAAACTTGGAAATATTGTCTTTTATCGGAGCTAAAGAAATCAGAAGCGTCATAAAGAAAGGGATTCACCTACATGTTTTTATAACCATGGTCGGTGCGGCGAAATCCTTTTCTCTTTTTCTTCATGATAATCAATAATTTATTTAAGACGAACAATTTCATGACATAAAAGTCTTTTTTTTTAATCGATGTCCATAGGTCATAAGATCCACTTGTAGTACTCCTGATTGGGGTTTTCTACTAGTCAATCCATTTTTTTTTTAATTTTTGCATCCGACGCAAGGAGTTAGAGTAGATTTTTTTTCCAAAATATACATAAATGTTTTCTGATTTATTTCTAATCAGATAAGTATTCATAATCTAATTTTCCTGTTCTGGCCTGCAGCATTAAGCAATCCTAGACTTCAGTTCAAAATTTCAGTCAGTCATGAAACGCGTTTTTATTATATTTTTGAAACTTACCCTGGAAAACTAAAATTCCTAGGTATGGGGCGTGTTGAGGTATGATTTTCTTCATCAGATTGTTTATTTAAATACCCTTACAGGAGATAATATATATTTCTAAGGGACATTTTTTTTTTAATTTAATTTTTATCTTCTCTTTCTTTTAGAAAAATCCCCATAATTCCCATAAGTGGAGAGATTATTAATCACATAAATGCAAAATTTTCAAGGGCAAAGTGTTTCTTTCCCAATTCTTATCCTCTCCCCTCCCCGGGGATCAAATGTTCAGCCCCTCAATAACACGAAAGGGAAACATCCTAAATTTCTTTGGTTTCTATGGGCGAAAAAGACAAAACTAGTATTCTGGTCTTACTTTGCAAATAATGATACTTTTTAAAATTGCAATATCAAAGATAAATTTCAAGTCTTCTCTTGAAATACATGTAAAGTACGATATATTTATGAAGTAATAATCATATTTCTCGCTAATATTCATGTTAATTTATATTTTTTAAATATACATTGTAGTTCTCAAAGTGAATCTATAGTTATTAAATAAGAAAGAGAGTTCAATAGTTGTTTTATTCATTATCTTTATAAATTGTCAAGTCCTTGAATAGACAATTACCTATTGTGACGTTTTTGACGTCATCGATGCGAGTTTGACGTCGTCAACGTAAAATACTATTACAGTTGTAGCCTACTTCAGTATATTATGCCCACGGACAAGATACACTTTTTAATAATTTGAAGCAAATAAATGATTAAGAATAAATACGTAATTAATGAACTTAAATCATGAATAGATCAAAACTTAATATAAAATAGTTTTGATGGGTCATATATGACCCCTGTGGCAGCCAGTGGGTAGAGCCCATATATGACCCCTCTGGCAGTAAGAGGGTTAATCAGATATATTACATTTAGAAAAATGATAAAATCACGTTCATTTTAAACTAGAATTCCGCAACTTTATATGCAGATTGAAATAAGGTGTAAAGTTTATGACATTCTCCCCATCATTACAGTTCAAGTATGCAGTGACTTGACGTCATTTTTAATTATGACGTCATACATTTGTAGTTCAGAGAAGTTCATGCAGAGAGTATACTACAATATTCTCTGGGAAGCCTTATCGTACCTGCGTTGTCCACGCCTTTGATGGACACTATTGGCAAACTCCTATGATTGACATTACTTGACCACGCCCTTAGATCCCGGTCCCCTCTTTTGTGTAGTACAGATTGTACAGCGCTCCTAAAGTCAAATTAAATGGAATAGTAATGAGAGCAAAGACGAAAAATACATCTCGGAAAGGGCTTTCTATTTAGAAAAATATATTAAAAATTTGCAATGGATGGAGAAACAAATAACGCTTCTTCTTAATCCAGTGTTTTATGTAAAATGTTTTGTATGAAGTAGAAGTAACTAGGTCAATATGACCTCTAATTCCCTCTAAAACAGAGGTGTATTATACATACATGTATCAATACAGGAATTTTCTTTAAATTCTTTTTTATATTTATTCAATTTTGTATGAAATTTATGTTCCATACACATGTAAATCAGACAATGTTTTAAAATGGAGGGGAAAAAATCACCATTGAGTTCGTGGGTAAGCAGTCTTCGTGAAATGCATGTTTACAGTGGAATAAAACAACATTGTTGACATATCTCAAAAGTACAAAATACATTTTTTTGTAATAGCTCATCAAAAACATAAAAATATAGCTATTTTCCAATAAAAATTTTATTCCATGGCATACATTTGAATAGAGTATAGATGAGACTTCATAACTTGTGACATAATACCTGTAACTATGATTCGCTGTTGACAAATAGGACATGACTGGCTACCTGGTAACAAAAGAAATGTCATTATATAAATTAATACATGTTCTTAAAAAATGAATCATTTTTCATGCTACCAAAAATGTCTATCTCAATCTATCAGCCCTTACACACTAACCCTATACAGTATACCGGTACTTGAACCTCGAAATGACATATCCACGTTTGTGTAAAACGTCCATTTAAACTTCCACAAGCCTATCTCATTCAATTTTGTCACTCTATCATATTGTTTAGTAAGTTAGAGCTTTCAGTCACTCATCAACTCACATCCCAACTATATTATCTAATTGTCTAGTAAGTTTAAGCTGTCAGTCAATCAGTAACCCCGCCCCCATCATATTGTCTAGTAGATTAAAGCTGTCAGTCACTTATTAACCCCGCCCCCATCATATTGTCTAGTAGGTTAAAGCTGTCAGTCCGTCATTAACCCTCACCTCATCATATTGTCCAGTAAGTTAAAGCTGTCAGTCACTCATTAACCCCGTCCCCCATCATATTGTCAAAAATATTGTCGACAGCTACGCCTCTCCTCTGTGTTTTGACCAGTCTGTCTAGTAATTTAAAGCAGTCCGCTACAAGAATTCTTCTACAGCCCTCTCTCAGTGAAATCTGTCAACAGGAAAATAAGGTAATGTGGAAATAAGCATTTCTGAAACCGTTAAATGAACTTTGTTTTATCGTTTGTAATATTTATCACATCGATGGCATTATGTTTTGAAACTTGTCCAGAATGAAATGCGTCTTTGGTAAAGATGAAGAGGTACATGTTACCATAATTTTGTACTGAAAAACTCAAAACTACACTTAAAGGAGCAGGAAAAATGACCCAAGGAAAGAGAGGTATCATCCAATATCTGGAAATAAGTCAAAGTACGTTTAATTTACCAACAAGCAGAGGAGATAGCCTGAAAAACAAGACAGGTGGACATCAACTGTATTTTCTAACTCCGAATAGAGGATTCAAAGCTCCGATATACCACTGTGTAAGCAAGATGAACACTCACAACCGGTGTAAAAAAAGATTATATGTTCTTGAAAATTACTTTGAAAGAATAATTAGTCGAAAATATCCATCAAAGAAAGCTATAATAAGTGAATACATAGACCTTAGGCTCAAAGAATTAATAATGACACAACCACAAAGGAAGACATAAAAACTAAAGGACTTCACATCTATTTACAATAACTACATTACTAATATATATCTACTATAACTCTACAAGCTACAGGAATTGAGAAAATGAATGCAGATATGTTGAAATGAAATAAATGAAGATAAAAAATACATAATAAATAAATAAAACATTATTTTTAAAATCTTATAATCAAAGTTGTGTTTATGCCCAAATCGTTTCTGAACCCTTCCAACACCTTCCTGGAGGATCTTATCCAGTGAGTCCCTTAATCCCAGGACTTCCATTCCTAAACCTTCCTACCTGTAGATAGTCCTGGAGAATCTTAACCAATGAGTCCCTTAATCCTGGGATTTCAAATCCCAATAAAATAGTCTCATAATATTTTAATTTGATTTGCTTCTTTTACATTTTTGTTAATTAAAGTTAGGGAAGGGAGAAAAAAATGAATGAAATGAATAGGATGGAATCTGAATTTGATGACGTCTGCACATAATTAAAATAATGGGATGCAAACATAATCTTGACCTCTTTTGGGGTAACAATTCGTCACTAAATCGTGCATATAAGATAAACTTGAGTGTTCTACCGCATGTAGTGACTGGAAGGGACTTATTTCAACATAACAGGTTAAAACATTCATTTAATTAAGGATGTGGACTCACATAGTTAATCTATGCTGAATTTAATGAGATCCGCCCACAGTTCCTGTCATACTTGTATTTGCTTAACTCAATAGCTTGGGTAACGTCTTTCAACTTTAAAAATATAGTGTCTGAATATTAACTTTGTTCTACTAAAGGCTTGCTTCTGTAGTCTGTACTGTTCTGTTTGACGTCAAAACATTTTTCTAAATATATAAATGTTTTCCTTCTTTTGCTGCATACTATCAATTCATTTAAAATAATAATAAGCTTAGAACGTTTTTAAAAGAATATTTGGCCACAAGAATCCTACTGAAAAAGGGCTACAAACTCTTCAAATAAATTTAGCAAATTTATAGATCATATAACAATACATGAATACTTCCTTATCAGCAAGAGATTATTTCCGCTTCAAATAAATTTAGCAAATTTATAGATCATATAACAATACATGAATTCTTCCTTATCAGCAAGAGATTATTTCCTGGCTGTATCACTGTAAAATATGGTTCAATATTTTTGTTAGTTTTTACCGACCAGTCTTCACTTCCCATAATGGGATTTAATTCCAAAACATATGGTTCAACACCTTACTTTGTGATTTAGTACAAAGTTAGACTTTCACTCCTAGTAATCGTATCGCCTAATCTACTTATCAATGATTTTTGTAACTTCAAAAAACATATAATTTGATTGGTTATTGATGAATATTATAATATGTCAGTTTACTTCAAATGGTCAATCTTGATTTTTTAATTTTTTTAATGAAATACACCCTATGGTCATGATAATAAATTATTTAATAATACACCATTTAGATGACCATCTTGGGATATATGTATAACATTGAAATACAGGAGGCCCATTGGACTTATAGGTCACCTGAGAATCATGTAACAACTTTCCAACAATTGAGTTGGTTCGTGTTTCAAAGCAGAGGCCATGAAATTCAAAATTTTGAAAGATGCACTATTGCTAATCATAACTATACACTTTGCTTGCTTTCTTTGGTTACTTAATTCCATGAGGTACATCAGAGTAACCAAAAGAAAATGCATTTCCACTTTATAACCAGTTGAACACCCTACCCCACAAGAACTACTGGCCCTGGGGCACATGTTTCATTATTCTGGAAATTTTACCATTAATTTCATTTCATCATGAATGGTTGATTAATACCAAAAATGCAGATTTGAAAGCATTTAATAATTTTCAGACTATGTAACCCCTACCCCAAAGTACCCTAAAATTAACCATTTTGGAGGAAGCGCCTTTCATCATCATCATTAATGTGTACTTAGAACATTGGCATAATGCCGAGGAGCAAAGTAAAAGATTTTTTAATAATTCATGCATTTTCACTATATGATAATTACAGCCCCACCCTAACGCAAAACCCCTGATCCTGGGGCCCTGAAATTCATAAATCTGGAAGAGGCATCCTTCCTCGTCATAACTAACTACAAAGTTAATTGGTTTAATACTCATGAGCAAAGAAGGAAATGTTTGAAGAATTGATGAATTTTCACAGTATAATTAATAAAGCCCCATTCTAACACCGGAACCCCTGACCCAGGGGCCATGAAATTTTACAATTTTGGGAGAGATATTCTTGCTCATCATAACTATGTACTTGGATAGTTAGTTTAATACCCAGAAGCAGAGAAAAAGATTAGCCTTGGGTCTCAAAATAGAAAATCAAATTTACCTGACATATTTGTTCTCTAAGTATCACCATCCCCTGGGGATCCGGTTAGAATAGGACCTCAGTACCAGGGATGGGGTCAATAACTTTAAAAAGTAATTAATTAAATTCCAATTACTTTGACTTTTTCTTCAATTAAATTACAATTAAATCACAGGTTTTCTAAGACATGTTATTAATTAAATTACAATTACTTTACAAAAGTAATTGATTAAATTACAAATAACATTTTTATTTTTTTTGAAATTTTTGTAATCAAATGAATATACAGAAAAGGGATCATTCACTTGTATATAAGTGAAGTCTCTGCACAAACAATACAAGAAATAATATGCTAGTAGGCATTGTGTATCTTTGTGGTTTAAATCATAGATAGAATTTTTATTCACAAAACAGTAAAGAACTATTCAAGATCAGTTTGATGCAATTGCCTCCACGCAAAACCTACATGTACGCAATTTGAATGGGTTATGATATTTGATAAAAATGGTCTTTTTTTAATAGAGTAAAATAAGTCACAAGTATAACCCCTCAAATTAAAGATTTCTTTTATAAAGGTAACCTTAATATCTAAATTGCTACTTATGTTGAACATTTTTACTTCATATTTATTTAGTACTTGTACAAAACATATCTTTTTCAGATACAAAATTCATTCATAAAATTCTGTTTAGATGTTAAAATAGTTATCAAATTGACAATTTTTCTTTTCTCAAACTAGATGGGCATTTTTAATTGAAATAATTATCCCCATGCATTGGCTTTGTCATCATAATCATGCATGGAAGGAATACGTCTTTACAGGGGTTGATTTGTTTTGATTGCAATTTACAGCTATGATCTGGAGGACAATTATCTTTATTATAATTAAAATTACATAGTATTTTTTCAGTGTAATTAATTAAATTACAAGTAATTGAAAAAATATTCAATTACAAATAACATCCAATTACTTCAAAAAATGCAATTAATTACAATCAATTACAATTACTTTTTTTGATTACCCCATCCCTGCTCAGTACCCCATTGCTTGTCGTTAAAGGCGACTAAATGGGGCGGTCCTTCGGATGAGACCGTATAAACTGAGGCCCCGTGTCACAGCAGGTGTGGCACGATAAAGATCCCTCCTTGCTCAAAGGCTGTAAGTGCCGAGCATAGGCCTAAATTTGCAGCTCTTCATCGGCAATGGTGATGTCTCCATATCAGTGAAATATTCTGGAGAGGGACGTTAAACAGTATACAATCAATCAATCAATCTAAGTATTACCATATAATTTTAAAGTTCTCATACCTAAATACAGTTTGTTAAAGTACATTAAATTATTATTTCTTGAAATATCCAAATAATAAGAGTAGAACAACTTTCAAAGATTAACAGATAAACACATGTAGTTTTGACATTTTTAAAGGAAATAACTTAGTAAAGTAGGCTTTTTTTTCTTTTTTTTTTTTTTTTTTTTTTTTTTTTTTTTTGCTCAAAACAATATTTTGTATAGAGTTTGTATCTGCATAATAAAGTTCAGTTGAATTTGATAAAGATAAATGTTATGCCTGAAAAAGTATACGCAGGGACTTCAAAAACGCCTATTGAAATTGTTTTCATCGTCATAGGTATATAATGTTACATGTTGTAGGAAATTTATTAAAAAATTTGTTCATTTAAGCTCTTCATTTCCAATACATTTAACAAATTTGTTAACCGCGTTTTTTCAAGGCAAGCAGTTAAAATATCCCTGTCAAGATTTTTTCCCGTTTTGATCAGTAATGTGTATGACTACCATTTGCAACTTCACAAGCTCTCAAGCGGAACCTCATGGATTGGCATACAGCTCGAATTCGTCTCATGGGAATGTTATTCCACTTTTCCTGTAGAGCCTGTGCTAATTCTGGAACGATTGCGGGTTGGCGTTGACGTCTTTTTAACCGTCATCCCAGTTCGTCCCACACGTGTTAGATGGGATTAGGGTCGGGAGATCTAGCAGGGAAATCCAAGATGTTAACTTTGTTAGCGTTTTGAAAGTCCATAGTAATGCGGGTTGTGTGTGAACGCGCGTTGTCCTGCTGAAACGTCAATGGATTATTGACAGTCTGATGACGTTGTATCAGTGGAAAAAGTTCCGGACATAGTACCTGATCAATATAGCGCCTGGCTGTTAGAGTGTCCCTCAAAATAATCAAAAATGACTTGAAACTGATTGATTGCTCCCCACACCATAACGCCACCTCCGCCGAATCTGAATGACAAAGCTTGCAGCGAAACGTTCATGAAGCCGCCGGTAAATCTGTTCTCTGCCATCAGCATGGGATAAGTTGAATTTCGATTCATCGCTGAACACTACATCTCGCCAGTTTTGACTATTGGCAAGCATATTCCGTGCCCATATGACGCGCAATTGTCGATGAAGTTGAGTAAGGACATTACCTTTCAATGGACGTCGACACAATATTCCATGTTTTTTCAATCGTCATCTCACGGTTCTGGGATGGATATGTCTCTCATGATGCCCTTTAACATTTTTCGACGTTGAAACAGACGTCAAAAACCTGTCGCGCAGATGACGTTGCCTAATGATGACATCTTGACGTCTCGTTGTTACGCGTGGCTGCCCACTTCGCGGACGGTCCTTGACACTTCCTGTGACCCGATATTTCCTAAGCAATCTTGTTATTGTAGATTGGTGCACATTGAAGCGTCGTGCGATATCGCAGTGGTTTAACCCAGCGTCAACAAGACCAAGAATTGCATACCTCTGTTGCTCAGACAGCCTAGGCATTTCAGTCAACGGTTGGAATGACGTAAATTCTTGATATTCTAACTGCAATGATGAAGGTTGCACTATACGTGAGGAGATGTGAAAAAATTCCTTCGTAAACCACGTGGATGGCTTTAAATAAAGTGAGCACGGGTGAGACCAATCTAATTAAAATTAGATCCTTTACGCTCCTTTATTTTGTTATGTCGCTGTAAGGATTCTAACAACTCTCCATTAGAGGTCATCTCAGAATGAACTTTGGTGACGTAGGGTCGACCAATCAAATGCGTTCATAACAACCAATCGTGGCTATTCTTACATAGAGTATTCGATATTACTTGAAAAATGGCGGACGTTAAATCTTTGGACAAAATTTTACATCATTTCGGTGTCAATACTTTAAAAAAAGAACAACAAAGCATATTAAATGCTATGATTGAAGGAAAAGACTGTATGGCAATTCTGCCAACGGGTTTTGGTAAATCGCTACCTTTCCAAATATTTATACCTCTTATGCGCGAGACGAACCCTGGATTCAGCGGTGTGATAATATAGTTTGTTGTCCTTTGGTTGCTCTTATGCAAGATCAAGTAAAAAAGGTATCAGCTGTGCCCGATATAAATCTTTCAGCTGCGTATAAAGGTAAGGGGCTTCTGTTATGATTTGACGAATGTAACGTTTTGAGAGCGATCATTGGTGTAATGATAAAATGATCAAGGTATGTCTCGACTTGAAAATACACATGAATTGGAGACATACGTTGAAAAATTATCATTAAAATGATATGTTGTAAATTAAGTTCTTTTAACATCAGTCATAGTACTGGATACTCTACAGATTTATCTTCTTTTTTCTCTCAGGTTCAAGTGAAGAAAGTGACAGGCAGATATTAAACGGTGAAGTAGACCTCATTTATGCATCTCCAGAATCTCTGATAAGTAATGCAGCCTGGAGGGAAGATATGAAGAAATTAAATGTATACACCTTAGTAATCGACGAATTTCATACAATTGCAACATGGTAATTTTTTGTATACCCATTGAACATGTTGAACTGCAGTAATGTGCCACATAGGCGTTGGAACCGGGGGGCTAGGGATGGGGGCTTAGCCCCCCCCCCCCCACTTTTTTTTTCCAAATATATACTTAGTATAGACTTAGCCCCATCACTTTTTTTCCAAACATATACTTAGTATAGATATTGAACATAGGTTTAGCCCCCCCCCCCCACTTTCCACATACACATGGCAGTATAGGTAAAAATGGGAAAAAGGAGGTGTATAGAAAAAAAAAAAATTGGTACTGAAGTTCGAATTCGGATTTTTGTATTTGTGAAATTGACATTTTCGGTTCTTTTTTTTTTTTTTTGCTTGTCAGGTTTTTTAAAGGTATAAAAGATTTTTTTTTTACACCTAGCCCCCCCCCCCCCCCAACTTTGAATTTGCTTCTGACGCCAATGTGCCACAATACTTATATTATCCCAACAGTAAAAAAATATATATACTAAACTTCATGTATCAGTTAGATAATATTAGTATTTTATTTGTAGGGGTGAAGACCAAACTGGTTTGAAGAAAGAAGCATTTAGGAAGTGGTTTTCCCACATTGGAGAATTACGATCATTGTTTCCTAAAGCAAGTGTTGTTGCACTGAGTGCTACTTCCACAGTTAAAATTCAGAAAAGAGTTGCAAAAGAGTTGTCTTTAGGTCCAAACACAGTGAAAATAGTTATGTCTCCAAATAAAAGCAACATCAAATACTCTGCATTTAAAATACCCAGTGACATTGCAATGGCCATGTCCTGGATGGTGGATGGAATCAAGCAATTGTTAATTGACTTCCCCAAGACTTTATTATACTGTACTAGTATTAATGATGTATCAAAACTTTACACTTATCTGATAAAAGAGTTGGACAGTTCAAGTCACTCCCATATTGAAATGTTTCATTCTGAAACACCTCTTACCAAAAAAACTGAAATTGTAAATTGTTTAAGTGATAGAAATGTCACATCAAATACAAGAGTAATTATTTGTACTAGTGCTTTAGGGATGGGTATTGATGTGTCCAACTGCAGCAATGTAATTCTGTTTGGATTACCTGAAAACATGGTAGATTTAGTGCAAGAAATAGGGCGCATTGGTAGAAGTGGAGATCCATCAGTTGCCCTTATTTTATTTAATACTTATCATCTACGCAAGCTTAGCAAAACCATGAAAGATCTGTGTTCAGATACTTGTAGAAGAATGACCATTATGAAACACTTTTTGAGTGAAACTGATTTAAATGAACTTAAAAAAGAAACTGGTAAACATACATGCTGTGATGTGTGCGACAAAATTTGTAGTTGTGGCAATTGTGAATATCTCTCTTTGGAAAAACTATTTGATCAGAGTTTAATTTCCAATTCAGACAACAGTCAATCAGAGGATTCCTCTGAAAGTTTAGATGATTATTTTGATGACACACTAGACTTGAATTTGTGTTGAATTATGAGTTAACTGATGTATCGAATAAAAATATGTTTCCAGTTATCTAGAAATTTTGTTTTAGTACTTGCTTGTTAGAGAAAAGATTAGAAGATCAATGTCTGATAAATAAAAAGTACATTCAAATGGGGAGAAGAGGGCAGTATAGTTATCCAAAATATGTGAGAGTGATTACATTCTAACATCTACACTTTGTCAGTAGAATTATATTAAGTATGTATATTATTAATATACTTTAAGGGGTGTGGGAACTTGATTAAAACTTTGGCTTTTTTTGTCAGACATTGAACTTTTCATCTCGTGTCATCCTGAAAAAAGCATACCTGGTAATTGTTTTATGACATTTACATCATTTTAATACATTAAAGTGACTATCCAGTACACACGATTTATTCAATATATAGCTAATGCTCACTAGTAATACCCCCGCTCTGGTGTGAATATACTTCTCTTGTTGAAATCAAATTTATAAAGAAATGAATCGCACCTATGACTTGCCTAAACAAAGAGCGTGCTAAAATTCAAGCATCTGCAATGAGTAGTTGTTGAGAAAACTACAACATTTGGTATGGACAGATGCACAGATAAACAGGAAGTTGACCGGATTCGAACGAAACAAATCATACCATATGGCATTGCTAAAGAAAGACTGTTCAAATCATTAATTCTATATGTACAAATATTTATGACTTTTGTAATATGTATATGATAAAAATACAAAAAAAATCTGCAAACCTTTCATTACATACTTTATATGACATTTAAAAGATGAACATGATAAATAATATACATATGGTGAATTTGATGTACTTGTATTTTATCAACATATGGCAGGGTAGCACTAAAAATTTATTGTCATTGCTTTTAAAACCAAAGTGCATGAACTGCATAAGCAAAGAATCTATGAAAACCAAGTTAGTAACATTTAGTTAAATTGATCCAGTTTATAACTTAAGAAATCAAAGTACACATAAAGCTAAAATACACACTACTAGTATTTACACAATGTATGGCAGATATAGCCTTAGGAAATATAAATTCCTGGTCACACTCTGAAAAATACTTAAGCAAATACATGTAATCAGTTAAAAATGAAGTCTGCAATATGGTGATGTTGGGTTATGTCTTAGAATCATGGTTGAAAGTTGACACCCACTTTTCTCAAAAGGGTTTCGCTCTGCGAGTAAGTTTTTACTTGTTATTTCTTCTTCACTCTCAATAGCATTTTTGTCAAGGAGGTCCTTCAAAACAATCTTCACATCGGCTTCATATGATGGCAGGTGATGGAAGCCCTTGCGCACACTAGCATTGCTAATTTTTTCAACATGTTTGGTCATTTCTACAAGAAGTGGGTATTCTTTGGAATGTTTAAGGATACTTTCCTTTGTCTGGTGACCCTTGCATGCAATTTTACTGTCTCTATTGAGCATCTCCAAGTATTCGTCCAATGAAATATTGTTATTTGTTCCTCCTTGCACATTCACAAAACGATTAGCTATCAAACGCTCTGTTTGCTGGGATGTAAGTAGCCCTGAGACAAGTGCTGTTAAGTGTATTGAACCAATTGTATACTTAGTTTTTCCAGTTTTGTGGTACAAGGGAAGTTCATATTTTGCAGATCTAACACAGCGTTCTCCATCACCCATGTCAACTGCATCATCTAGGTTCCTGTGTAACAATGTCAATTTAAAAAGCATACTGATGTAGTCCTTCAGTTTTCTTTTTTCTTTACCCTGAGTTTTCTTTGGCACCTTAACTTCCAAGTTGTGTTCTTTCACTTCATGAGCTTTCAGAGATCCTAAGCAAGCATAACTTCTGTCACAAAAATGACAATGAAATCTTTCATTATGACGACATGACACCCAATAGTTTTCATTGTGATCAGGATTTTGTAGCACTTCCCTCAAGGAAGAGAAAATGTCATCTTCATTTTCAAAGAATTCCTCCCTTAGGATTGTACTGCAGTTTTCATTCAACCAGTTTATCTTGTCTTCACTGCTCATTTGCATAAAATTGACTGGAAATGGGATTTTTGAATCCAGATCTTCAAGTTGAAAATGTCTTAAAAAATGAACAATGCACAAAGCATCAAGGACCGTGTAATACAGTTGCTTATAAGGTCTATAAGAATTTTTCACTTGTCCCTTTACACTTCTTAAATTCAAAAGGTTTCTGTAGTAGTACATGGTGCAAGGTTCACGTCCACTTCCGGTGTCATATGTCAGTTTATGGATAGCCTGAAATATCATGTAAAACCTCAAATTTTGATGATTTATAATCAAGAAATTTAATTATACATTTGACTGCACATCAGGCTTATGTCCTATACTCATTTGAAATTTAATTCTACTAAAAGATACCTAAGTACATGTATCTACAGAAAACATCATGAAAAGTTTTTTCACAGTCATGAAAACAAGCAATCAAATGCTAACAAACAAAAGTCTTACATCATTACAGGCCAAATCAAAAGTTTAAAGTTCTTTCAACAACAACAACCAATACCTCTAAAAAGTTCATAAGACGGTGGAAGTCCTCAATCTTGGATATGAAACCCTCTAATCTCTCTTTAGGCGAATCTCCATTTTTCATTGCACACTGGGCACCATTAACCCTTTCATCTGTGAGTCTGTCACCTTATGAAAATAGAAATAATCATGAAAAAGAAAGTTTGAGAAAGATAACCATGGAAAACTTCATTATAAAAGGTACAAATATACGGGTAAATACCTCCGAAAAACACGGGTTCTACTATATCTCCATCTTTCATTGGAACAAACGAGTCTGACAAGGTTTTCATTAGTTGAATAATTTCTTGTGTTTTGTTCTCGTTACAATCGAAGAGCCCAAGAGGGTACTGAAATTTAAAATGTTTAGTTTCAATTGCTTAGAAATAAAAAAAAAATTATTGAATTTAAATGCTTCAGCCAAATATGTGTACACTTGAACTTTGTCATTTCAAACTCTCAAATACCATTTCTACGTCATTTGAAAGTTCAGAGTTAGGAATTGATCCTTACCAAGCAGGTTCGAACCCAAATGCAAGATATGGAGAACTGTCCTTTGGATGACACCGTATAAACAGATGTCCAATACAAATTAGGTACTGGCACAAAAAATATCATGCTCAAATGGCCATCAGTGCCAAGAACAGGACTAAATTTGCAGCCCATTGTCAAGTTGGGGCATCTCAATTTATGTGTGAGAAATAATTTCAACTTCTCATCTCCTAATAATTTTAAAACATTAACCAAAACTTTAAGAATTATTAAATGAGCAATACCTGTGTTGTTTTAAGTCCTGCAAACTGGGTGTATTTATGCTTCAGGTGTTTGGGGTATATGTCTTGAAAACAATCTCTCAGCATTGGGTGATGCTTGATCAATGTTGATGCAAACATAAATGTAAGTTCTTTCAGAAGGATGGCTTGTTCATCAACAGAAGGGATGAAAGTCAGCAAAGATAAGTCCATGTGCTCCTGCAGGCCTACATCAGAAGACGTAGATGTGGGAATGACTCTATCTACTATAGCATACACATTGAACAGATGCAAAGAAAGTGTCCCCTTTTCTGTTGTCCTGTAACAAAATATGCATTGTAAATTTACCATTACTTTTATATGGTCACATTTTACTGAATGATGGTACTACACTGAGCTGTTTTCCTTTTTACATTGTAATTTACTTACTGTTACACATACCTATAAGAAGGCAGTATGTTTTTATCCCAATTATCGCCAACAAGTTGATATTTTCTGTTTCCTCCTTTCTCCCATGCTCCCTTGATTTGAAGAAGATTTTCACTTAAACTAGATTCCCAGCTAGCCAGTTTCCTGTGTAGAGTTTGTGGATGTACAGCCAGACCCAGAGTTGAGAGGCACTGTATATCCTTAAAGGGTATTACCAATTGTTTAGTAAAGAAATACGATTCAACAGTTAAATACTTTAAAACTTCATTCTTTTGCTAAATCAAGTTTATATAATATCTGAACTTCATATATATAATCATATTTCTTTAAACATTTGATATGCTCTTAACAGCTCTGAGCCAAGTGTCCTTGTAATTGGTTTATGAGGTCAGAGAAACTTGTAACACACTTAGTCTCAGCAAAAAGGTTGACAGAACTGATACCTTTTGGGTACAGCCTCCATGTGTTAAAACCATTCCAATTAAGTATTGAACAACTGATAGCTCCTGACTTCTGCTATGGAGTCCTATGGCTGCCGTTATCATTATATGCATGAAGGGCTTGCTTGGAATGGTAGGTGGTATGTCGCATACAATAGCAGATACTGTTGATAGTAAGAGAGGACAGGAACTTTGAAGTTCATAATAGAAATTTTCCCATGAAAACTTTAGAAAATCTTTATGTTCTTTGTTTTGCAAAATGGACTGAGAACCTCTTTTGCACACTTTCTTGCATTCCTCTTTTACCAGTCTGTTGGCAATATTTATCAACACTGATTCGTTGCGTTTTGCTATATTTTCAATGATGATCTTGTCGGTGTTAGAGCTATGATCCACCAGTGCTTTGCAAATACTTTTGTACTCCTGTAGCACAATAACTGCTGATTTCTTTCCACTTGGGTAAAAAATATTCACCTAAAATCAAAATTCATCACTTTGTAAATTTTCAAATAGTAGGAATAACTTTAATTAATTGTAGCCAAGGAGTTCAACCTACAGCTGGTCTGTGTTGAAGTTTGATAACTTAATCATTTTCTCTTAATAATACATGTCTTTTGACTATTTGCATATAGGGAGCTATTTACATGGGAAGTTACATAAATAAAAGGCTAAGGAATACCAAGACTGAAAACCATTTCTTAAAAAATCTGTAAATTATGTTACTGTTGACCAGCAGATTATTAAATATAAACAGGATTTTTTGGGGTTAACACATATCTAGTCTTACAGCCAATACAATCCTAATCAAGAATCATAAAAAATTTTTTTTTGAATTTATAGACAGATAAAATTTGTTTATTTAAAGATATCTTGATATCTTGAAATTCAAGCGTGTTTAAGTTAATTTATTGAAAATTACCCGGTAAATGTTATTAAGTATTACTTTGCAATGATTGCATGATATAAACTGTTTTACATTAAATGACTAATGGCATGTATTAGAATTTGAGCCTCACATCAAGTCATCCAAGTACTGTTTTCTGGGTATGTCTTTTAACCACAATGAACCACAATGAACCACAATGAACCCCAATGAACCACAAGGAAACCACAATGAAACCACAATGAACCTCTTATTTAATTTTAATGAATCTAAAGATGGTTTATATGCATTTTTTTAGTCATCTGAGTCACACAGGTGACCTATTTCTAACTGTTTATCCGTTGTGCTTCCTGTCCGTCTGTTTCCTAATCTTTTGAACCATTTCAGCTTCTTTTCTTGAACAGCTTAACCAATTTCAACCAATTTTGGCACAAAGCATCTTTAGGTAAAGGGGAGCAAAAGTTTTGCATTTCAAAATCTCTCACAGGGGATTAATTGTACTCAAGAATCTAGGTAACACCCCTTACTTATAAATGCATAATACCACAAAGAAACACATCAACACCCACAAGGCACCAAGTCACACTCAAAGATATTCTAAGTGGGGTCTACATGCAGGCAACTTTTCAAAATTGAAGATAGATTTTAAACATAAATAAAACTCTCAATAAACAGTAAAAAAAACTTATTTCTGACTTTTTGAGAGAAAAAAAGTATCTGCCATCAACTAAGAATCCTTATTTTGAACAGATGTAACGCTACATATTAAGTCATCAAGTGTTATGTGTAGTACATGTGATAACAGACCAGAATTGATTAAATAAATATCTTTTTACTTTGCTTGATAAAATATTTTTTCAGGAGGGGGCATTTTAATGAGACAGAAGGCAAATCCAATTAAACAATCATGTTATTTTGTCCCAGAGAGTTTTTTTTTTTAATTGAAGGTGAAATATCCCTCTACTCCAATTTTGTTTAATTCCGAACATTGATTTTCTTCAATAACAGTAGCATTAGATACAAATGGAAAATAGTTTGAAGTATGAAGGATTGCTTACTTTTTCAGAAATTAATATTATGTCTATTTAATCATGATGTGAAGAAAATTTGATACGGTAATTCCATTTCAATTTAAATTTATTTCTTGTTATATCTGTTAGAGAGTTAGCGGAGTTGATTTCTTGATAATTCTTCCGGAATGTAAATTAGGCAGGTCAATAGTTCAGGGGCTACAGAAGGTCTAATATGCATGTAAATCTTGTGCACATCTGTGTGTGACTGTCTCTTTGTCTATCGCTAAGGAGTTTGTGTTTGGTGTCAGTGGGCAAGGACTTAAAATTGGCATGGAAGTCCTCGTGTTATTTAAATCTATGTCTAAAATTTTTAAAATCTTTATCTACAATTTTATTCTGATTAGAAAACATAATGAAGCATTTCTTTTTAAAATCAGCTAGAATATCAAGCTGTTTTATGTGCTTGTATAAATATACTTGTATATCCATCTATCATGAAAATTAAGTTTTATTTTCCATTATCACCCTTGAAATATTTTTAGTGAAAAAAATATTAATTAAATGTTTATAAACAATTCTGCATCTAAAATTTCTGAAACAATTAAAAAAAAGACTTTAGATATAGAAATGTCTCAATTTATAAGTTTATAATGGAACTATATATTACAGGGTCTGACAAATCCCATTGCCCGACGCCCGGGGCTAGTGAATTTTAGAGGCGGGCAAGTGAGTTTTTAATAGGCACTTGCCCGTGGGCAAGTGACTTTAAAAAAATCAATCAATAATATTTTTAAAAATGTCATTGTTTTCCACGAAATTAAAATTATTAAATCAACAGATTGTATGGTACATGGTACTTAATGGCAGTTGTCACCAATACTCAAAACAACAATCCTAGGCTGCAAAATTTTTCGCTTGAGAGACAAATTAATTCATTATGATAAATATAAAGTGCTGGTGGGGCAATTAAAAATTGAAGTAGGGCAAGTGAAATTTGACTATGCACTTGCCCGTGGGCAAGTGCCTGAAAAATCTATTTGTCAGCCCCTGTATTATGTACATTAGGTTAGATTTGTTTGAGTTGACTATAAATATGGTCTTCATTATAAAAGTCGGACTACATTCTTATAAGAAAATCCATTGAATTTCATGGAGAAATGTCTTCAGACTGTACGTTATCTCTCTTATCAGAGGGAAATTACATCTTAATTGTTGCAAAGAAACAAAAACTTCATTACTTGTGCAATCTAATAAGGTTATTTCATGACTCTTAGATTTGTAGGAATTATCTACCATAAAACTTAGTTTAATGGTCAAGTATCAACTGAGTATCAAGTTATTTATAATTCCTTTAAACCACATTCATTTTAAAAGGCTAGCCAACAATTAGACTTTCTGCGTAATGCAACGTATACACAGATTTTTGACATCTTGGGTATTGGGGGTCTCCAGGTAAATAACATTAGTACTACTAAGACCATTCTCCTTCTCAGGTATAACATTATAAAGGTGTACTAATGATTTTGAAAGAGGTTTTTTTTTTGCATATTATGGTGCTTTCCCTATTTTCAGGAAATGAGATTTTTAAACAAATGCCCTTTCCAAAATTCAAATTGTTTTAATTATTTCAAAGCTCAATGTTAAATTAATAATATTTTACCACTGGCCAGGCCTAGGATATGAGTATAACTGCATGTATAACATATAAGACATAAAAAAGTAAGATACAAGATTTAACTCCAACGTTAAATAGGTAAAGAATAAAAATACCCCCCCTCCCCCCACAACAACGAAACAAATCAAATTAATGGCAACATAGAGAATCGCTGTTAAACTGATATAACACCTCGGACCCACATAAAATTTCAGGAAAACTGCAGAAAAGAGCTCAAGGAAAGTGTATTAAAATATTTGATTTGAATTTCCAAAGTATATAGAAATTAATAATTTTTTAGGAAAAAATTACAAATCCTGTCATGTTTTAAATTAAAGTGCAGATGAACAAAGTTGGTAAATAAGCCTTTTATAGCCTATTTATTCAGATGTCATTAATAGCATTTAACTCTACTGATTTGAAATAATATTTTAAAACTAAGCATCCTTTGTTTATTTTACCTTTGAAATTTATTTGAATTTTTTTTTAGAATTACGCAATCCCCAGAAATAGCGATTTTTGGTATATCAAAAATCAATATATATGTACGCTCCTTCGTAAAATAATCAGGTATTTGCATTGATTTCATGAAAAAAATATTAATAAGAAGGCGTTAAACAATATTTGGCACATTAGCTGACACGAATGTCTTTTTAAACATCTATTGTAAACCCCAGAAGTAGCCCCCTATGCATTGGAAAAATTGAATTATTCAAGTCAAAAACCTTTATTTATTTATTTTAATACAAAGTATATAAAATTTACTAGGCACTGGTACCAGAGTTGTCAAAATGGCCTGAGAGGAAATACATTGTATAAATAAATTCTGAACAGAAAGGAAAATCCCTTTTCCATGTATGGAACTGCTATCGAATAAGTTCATTTTGATTGGTTAGCTATCGGCGTGATACCCTTAGTCGACTTTAACCCTGCCTTGTCGTTGGAATAAAAGCAACGTTGAGCCCGAGGTTAAAATAAGTAGAGAAATAAAATGTGAATCGATATATTAAAAAATGACATATGCTTGAACAAATGGTAACTTTATTTATGTATTTTTTTCTTTGATTTGCTAGATAGAAGATATGTTAATTTCTCTGAATGACAAATGATCGAGATAATTTCCTTTATTTAGTACAACTACTGTTACAGTTTAAAAAAACGTTAATAATATAATATATCTCATCTCAAGAGTCCTTTAAATTATCCTTTAAACTTAAATTTTACATATTTTGTAGTTGACTAAATGCATTTTAAAAGCATGTCAATATTTTGACAGCTTGGTGCCCAGGAGTAAGGAAAATGATTTTAAGAATTGCATTAATTTTGATGGTTTTGGTCCCAAACCTCAGGCCCTGTGGGTAAGAGATTTTGAAATGCAAAACTTTTGTTCCCCTCAACCTAAAAATGCTTTGTGCCAAAATTGGTTGAAATTAGTTAAGCTGTTCAAGAAAAGCAGCTGATTGAGAAATGGTTCTAAAGATTAGGAAACAGACAGCAGCCCATACCGAAAAAAGTTATAACTTAGTTATAACTTTTGTAACTAAAAAAAGTTACAAAAAAGTTATAACTAAGTTATCGGAGTTTGGAATGGCATGTTTTAAGTGAGGTATAATTTAGTTATAACTTAGTTACAAAAAAGTTATAACTTTTTCATAACTTTTCACCTTTTATTGAACATAAATACAGCAAGTACATAAAAGTTATAAAAAAGTTATAACTACAAAAAGTTATACTTATTAAAAGTTACACAAAAAGTTATAAAATAGTTACAAAGTTATACTTTAGTTATACCCAAATAAACAGTGGAAAAGTTACAAAAAAGTTATACCCAAAAAAAGTTATGAAAAAGTTACAAAAAAGTTATACCCGGAAAAAGTTATACCCAGGAAAAGTTATAACTAAAAAAAGTTATACCTATTATAAAGTTATGAAAAAGTTACAAAAAAGTTATACCCCAAGAAAGTTATGAAAAAGTTATAGAAAAGTTATACCTAAAAAAAGTTATAACTGCAAAAAGTTATAACTATAAAAAGTTATACCTATTAATAAAAACTTTCGTAAAAGTTCCAGTGAAATTATACACTGTTAACCTGTTGTGGATTTACTCAGTTATAAGCTTTTAAAAAGCTACTCATTAAAATTTTAAAAAATAAAAAGGTTTTTGAAATTTATACAAAAAAGATTATTTAAAACATATTAAAGGCAATAACAATTTTACCTAACAAACATGATAAAGATAGCTTGGTTTATTGTCAAATACAACTAAATGAATGCACATGCAATTGTTTTAAAAATTCAAGTGTACCTTATTTTACATCATGTCATCTACAACAGATTGAAATTTCTCTGGTTGTTTTAAAGAATACATTTTGAGCATATAGCAATTAGGGTCTTTGTAAAATTACCTAGCAAACTGCATTCTACTCTTGCTAATTGTATAAACAGACATCACTAATTTTTAAATATTAACACCCTATTTATTTTTGATCTAGCTGTATTTCAAAAAAAAAAAAAGAAAGTTTCTATAAACAGTGATTTCAGTCACAGTTTCTAGCTGCATACCACCCTCCTTGCACAGGTATCCTTGCAGGTGTACAGTTGTTTATCTTTATTATTTGAAGATAGGCTGCACTGAAAGTTGGCTGAGTTAGCTGACAGACTTAGCCATCGTTTGACAGGCCGCACTGGTAGTAGACCAAGTTAGTTGAAGGACTTGGCCATCGTTTGACAGGCCGCACTGGTAGTATACCAAGTTAGCTGACAGACTTAGCCATCGTTTGACAGGCCACACTGGTAGTAGGCCAAGTTAGTTGAAGGACTTGGCCATCGTTTGACAGGCCGCACTGGTAGTTGGTCAAGATAGTTGACGGACTTGGCCATCCCTTGACAGGTCGCATCTGTAGTTGGTCAAGTTAGTTGACAGACTTAAACGTCCCTTGACAAGCCGCACTGGTAGAAGGCCAAGTTAGTCAATGGTCTTAACCGTCCCTATATTGACAGGCCGTACTGGTAGTAAGCCGAGACGAACTTGGCCATCTCTTGACATGTGGCACTGGTAGTAGGTTAAGTTAGTTGACGGACTTGACCATCCCTTGAAAAGCAGCTCTGGTAGTAAGCCAATCTAGTTGATGGACTTGGTTGTTCGATGACAGGCCGCACTGGTAATAGGCCAAGTTAGTTGAAGGACTTGACAGGCTGCACTGGTAGTCAGCCGAGCTAGTTGATGGACTTGGTTATCCCTTGACAGGCCGCACTGGGTCAGCCGAGCTGGCCGAGGGACTTGGCTGGTGGACTGCGTCCCTCATTTTAGCTGGTCAGACGTCTTGGCTGGTGGGCAGTGTGACTGGTAGTCGGCTAAGTTTTCGTTGAAATATGCTTGCAATTTTAACCTTTTCTTCAATTCTGCAAAAAATTGTAAAGGTTCAAAATTTAGATTAAAGATATTTAGATAGTATTTTTCCAGCACTCATTTGCACATCAAATTGAAAACACTCTTCCATATCAATTAATTCAAATTCATTAATTCATCCAAAACATGGAAAATACAAGACTAATTCAAGATCTATACTTACAGGAATCAGTTTTAGATTGAAAGATTTATTGAATTTTGAAATGAAAAAAAAAAATTTACTTTACCTTAAACAAGTAATATTGTGAAGAATTTCATGTACTCCAGGGCAGGACAGATTCAGCTCATGGAAACATCATGTACCAATATTCTGCTTTATAAAAAAAAAAAGAAAATTAATGTTAAATTACTCATTTCATTGCATTAATTAACATTGCAGCTATAGATCATGTTATGATCATGCTGATGCGTATAAGGCTTCACAATATTTTAACAGTTCAGGGAATCTATAAACAATTGTGGGAATAAATATGACAAAGAACATATTTGATTAATATACTAAATGCTGAAAAATATTATGCGTTTCAAATACTTTCAATTTGTTTACTTCAGTCTTTGTCATTCGACATACCAATCAAAACAAACAAGAAATCTAAGATTCACACGCCTAGAATTGTGTTCATTCCCAATATTTCTTCTTTTTGGAATGTTATTCCAGAGGTACTAAGTCTACTTTACCAAAATCAATAAAATGTTAGCATAAATATCGCCTTACCAACTGGTTTTATCTCCTTTTTTTCTATCAACACTTTCAACATCCAAACATTCAAATCGTCCATGGAAAAATCCGCGCTCTGTTATTGACCAATCATAGAACTCAAAAACGTCACGTGATCGAAAAAAAAATAAATAAATAATTCATTATTAATTTATTTTAAATGCAAATAAACCTAATTGTGTAATATCAACCTTAAATTAAAAATATAAATACCAGTTGGTGTTAAAATTTTGAATTTATCTTAGTATCAACAAAACGGACATCGGAGGCCGGCGGCCGCCATATTTGCCGCCATTTTGAATTTAATATTTGTTTATTTGTGAAAATAACTATTATAACTGGGTTATTTAATTATGCAAACAATAAAATCTACATGTACTAGTCATCTGCTTAAATCTTAATATAAGTGGCAGTCTTTATTCACAACATCGTAATATCTGTTCAACATGAACATGCACATACTCTATGCTGCTGTTTATCTTTTTAGCCACCCATATTACGACTGATTTTCTGCAGATTTCAAACAACCTGTGTAGAATTTACCATTCAGAGATTGTGTAATACCCAAGCTGAAATATTTACGATGTGTTGGCCACAAAGGTCACCTAGTACAAACACCTGTCTCACAGAAAACAATAGGGAAATTTACACTGTTTTGCACACGAAGACTTCATGAGATTACATTTCATACTGTTTATATCTCTTGCAGTACATTTATATTTCCCAAAATTATGAAATATATTCATTCCCAACTTCAGATGTAAGTGCATTATTATAATTTACAAGACAAATATTATGTCTCATCAGGGTCTCAATAAATACGTATTTTCTAAGAGAGAGAGAGAGAAGGAGAGAGAGAGAAATTAATTATTCTCAACTTTAGTTGAAACTTACATGACAAATATCAATTTAAATAGACAATAATATTTATTACACACACATGACATGTACTGTGTACACACCCTCAAACACCACAGAGAGAGAGAGAGAGAGAGAGAGAGAGAGAGAGAGAGAGAGAGAGAGAGAGAGTTTCTCATTTATAGATGTAATTCACAAGATTTTATTTCACATCCCTTCTGTTGAACTTGACATGGCTGTGGACAGCATATTTACCGGTATTATGAATGAGAAGTCGATCACTGGTAGTAAACAATATTATTGTTCAGGAATTGACAAAGTTTTCTGCTGCAGTGTTTGAAAAAAAAAAAAAAACATTTTGAACACGATCAAAATTCATTCAAATTAACACTTAGTTTATATGTTATTTTTGAAAAAAAAAAGTTGGTGTCAAGTAGTATCCATTAAATAACCCCCAAAACTTGTAAATTTATACTGGTAATGCTTGAAAATGGCTAAGTTCAGAAAAGTTATGTTTTAGTTATACATGAAAATGACAAAGTCCAGAAAAGTTATGTTTTAGTTATACATGAAAATGGCTAAGTCCAAAAAGTTACATTTTAGTTATACATGAAAATGACAAAGTCCAGAAAAGTTATATTTTAGTTACACATGAAAATGGCTAAGTCCAAAAAGTTACATTTTAGTTATACATGAAAATGACAAAGTCAAAAAAAGTTACATTTTAGTTATAACTTTTTTGTACCTCACAGGCTAGGTATAACTAAGTTATACTTTAGTTATAACTTAGTTATAACTTTTTTCGGTATGGGAGGAAGCACAATGGACTAATTATTAACAGATAGAAATAGGTCACCTGTGTGACTCAGATGACTAAAAAATGCATATAAACCATCTTTAGATTCATTAAAATTAAATAAGAGGTTCATTGTGGTTCATTGTGGTGTCATTGTGGTTCATTGTGGTTCATTGTGGTTCATTGTGGTTCATTGTGGTTAAAAGACATACCCCTGTTTTCTTCAAGTCTCAGCTCAACTCATAAATTCCTAGAGAAACAGATTAACATGCAGTATAGAAAAAAATTTATATTTGTTATTAGTAAACATAAATATTAAATAAATTACCAAGCTTCATTACTCTACATAAAATGCTAAAAAATACCTCTTTTTCTATTGAGAATTTCGATAATAGTTCAAGTTCAACTGAACAAGTTAAAATTATAATATGATCTAAAAATTCTAAATCTTATTAAAAATAAGATGTTAGATCCGATCGCATACTCACTATACTAGCATCTAACAACATCCTGTAGAGGGTCATGTCAGAGGTCAAATTCTATCAATCAATTAAATTGTTGCCTTCATTGTATATTGTTGAGACGAATAAGTCTAGAGTTGTTCTGAATTTGAGCTCTGACATGACCCTCTTTAGGTTGTTAGATGTTAGTGTTGCGAGTATGCAAGAGGATCTGACATCTAATCTTAATTAGATTGTATAAATTCTACACCCCTTATAAAATCAGCTACAAGTATATTAATTACACTTATATGGTACAAGTTGTTATGTTCAAATTCACGAAAGTCCCCTTTTGAAATTTATTTAATTGATTTTTCAAAATATTAGAGTAATCAGAGCTTGAAATTAAAACAACAAATTAAAATATGTATGAAAACAATGAATGGAATAAACAGTAACTCAAACAAATATTTCACAATTTTCAAGCATTGTATTTTATGTACTTCAGAATTGTGTGTAGCATGACAGCTAGTTTTTATGGTTATATAATTTTATCAAGGCCTACATATGTACCTAAAAGTGACTATATAATTACATAAACATTTATTTCAGGGATCAAGATAAACAGCCCGTCCTGTTGATATAACAAAATTTAAACCAGAGTCAACATTATCATTGGAGGGTAAAAGTGTACAAAATATGGAAATCAAGAGAAAAAAAAAAGGATGAACATTTTGATTAATTTCAACTTCAGTTGCATTGGTTGTTCTTGTTTAAATACAAATTAATATATCCCATCATTTGGTTATATTTTGAATATATTCCAATCAAGGTTTGACTTTTGCTAAAAAAATAACGGGTTTGAAATGTCACTTATGAATGTGTGTTGGTCTGGATTGAATTTATAATTTAAAAATTGTTAGTACTGAATTGCTTTGCATATATTTGTACTAATAACGATGTCAAGAAAATAAGCGAACGGTAACAAAATTCATGAACGTAATTGAATAAGAAACATAAGCTACACTTTAAATTAAATCAACCTCAACAGATCCATCTAGAGGGGGCATTTTTTCACTCTGTTTTTCTTCCATACATATGGGCTGGACTAAACAATGGCAGCAAACACATTAGTTTGATAAGCATCTTATTTTAAATTATGCAATGCTTCGTAAAGTATATCACCTTAATTGTTGTTCACCAAATTTATCAAAATACATACCATGGTTTTCTTTAACATTGATAATGTTAATAGCTCTCTGCATCTGTGAAAAGAAATGAAAAATAGTTTTAAGATAAAAATTAAGCTAGTGCTCTACTAAATATCAACTGAAATGAAATGGAATAACCAATCTGTATATTGTTGGCAATGAACATGATGAATTAACTTTTTAAAAATTCTTTGTATCAGTTTTGGCACAGAAATGTTTTGCTAAATTTGCATATTCACTCACCAATCACATCCAATGTTTGATGGAGCTATGCTATTAACAGTGATAAATTTAATTAATAATGTTGTTTCTTACCTCTATCTTTCCATCATATATCTCAATTGAATCAATTTGTGCCGAGTTTAAGTCCTTGGATAAACTTCTTCTTACTGGTTTTGCAAGATTTGATTGTAACTCTGTTTCTGGTCTTTGTGAATTACGTGTTGTGAATGTTGAAGTTATATCCCTGAAAGGCCTGATTTCAACGGGAACAACAACTTGAACACTTGGAAACTTAGTGATTTTCTTTGGCTGGACTAATACTGGACTACTTGCCAAACGTTTCGTAACTAAACCCGGTGATCGTAACACCACTGTTAGTCTTTCCTGGGTTCTGCTAAAGTGGTTTTGTATCTGTTCTGTTAATTCTCGAACTTCCGCTCCAAGTCGTAAAATCCTTTCTACAGATCTGTTACACTTAATACAAATACCTTTTTGTCCAACGTCTAAGTTCTCCAGAGACCCTAAGACTTCAGCAATGTTTTGAAGTCTATCGTTTGTTAATTTCAATTTCAGATTAAAACGCGTTTTAATCTCAACATTTCCTAAGGAGTCTGTCTCTCTCGTTTCAAAGCAAAACCCACAAATTACGCAAATATTCCTTTGCAAGTACACCCTCCTAGGTGTCATGGGCGCCGCCATTTTTTATTAAACATTTGATACCTCTCGGGCATTTTCGATGCCACATCTGTTCCGGTAACATTACATCATCAGTTACAAATCCGCGTAAGACGCAATTTGATTGGCTTATGCAAAGTTCAATCTGAGATGACTTCTAATGGAGAGTTGTTAGATCCTTACAGCGACATAACAAAATAAAGGAGCGTAAAGGATCTAATTAATTAGATTGGGGTGAGACGGGCTGATTTACGGATGAGTGATTCCGTTTATCGATGATATGCATACATGCCAAAATGTTTAAAACACAATACATAGGCAAAACATTAGATAATCAAAATTGAGAATTTGTTTTATTATAAATTTTTATATAGGCGTTTTTAAAGTCCCTGAGTATATATTCCGTAGCCGCCCTCGATTTCTGTTATAAAAAAAAGTGAAATCTTTTAATGTAAAACCGCTTAACAAAAATGGACAGAAATTTCAGACAATATGTCAAAGGAATATAGTGTTAGATAGACCATGGCCATACCGGGGTATACTTGTAATATTATTCATTTGACTATTTTTAGTTAATCTGCAATCAATATTGTCCAGGCTGCTATGTTATTGTTAAAAAGTGTAACAAAAGTACATAATCACAGGATGTCACGCACTATTTATTATATGCACAGTCTACAGATACCAGGTAAACAAAATGACGATGGTTGACTTTTTTCATAAAAGTCACATTGAAATATGAGCAATGCACACGTTTTAGTAATATAACCTAAAACTAAAGTATGAGTCCTGTCAATGCAATCAAATTCAAATGTAACATTAATTTCGATTTAAATTTCTCAGTTCTTTTAACCTACATGATTTTAGTATGTTCCAATGCATTATGCGCAAGCGCACTTCATTCCTGTGTATGGTTTTGAAAATTGCATCGTACGATTCTTTAATAGACTCAGGGACTGTTCTTCTTCATCCTATGAAACCACTTTCAATGTTGAAGGTTAGTAATTGTGATTATTTATAAGGGACTACCCTGCTATTGATATCTTAAGGATGTTTAAAATTAAAATTCAACAATTGTAAAACAAGGAAGTCATCGGAGATCTTAAGGGTACTGGAAGATATGTAAATATTGAATATTATTTATAAAAACGAAAGGTAGGACACTCTCTCTATTTTGAGGCATTTTCAGGTTTTTTTTTGGTATTTTGGATGTTTTATAACACGATAAGGCTGTTCGATATAATCTACTTTCAATATATATGTCTCTTGCTTCGTTCCGCTCAAATGAATAGACCCTTTCAAGGTTATTAGCCGCCATCTTGGATTGGGGGCATCACGCGACATCGTAGCTAACGTAAACAATGGCAGCTGATGCAGAAGCACCGCATCAATTTTCGTCTAGCGATCGCTTCACAGTCATTAATTGTCATTTGAAACTGAATGTATACGTATATTGTAAGAAACATATTTTATTCTAAAAAAGAACATTTTCTTTAATAATAAGTGTTTATTTACCTTAAATGAACTGCAATATTACAACATGCATCATGTAAAACGTTCGGAGATAGAGTGTTTATGTTACGCTACTATCTATCATCTCTTACAATTTAAGCATAAAATATTTGTGAAAATCAAAACAAAAGAAGGTTTAAGCATAAAAACACTCATTTACATTTTATTTTTTACTTTGATGATTTTTTAAAAATTAATTTCTTTTATATCTATACCACTAACGCGGGCGGATCCAACTGAGAATATTGAGAAGTATTGAATGAATAAAAGCTCATAAAACATCTGTAAATAGACCAATATACTTAAAAAATAATATTTATTTTAATATAATATTTTTAGCTATTTTATTGAGACAACTTTAAATATGTTTTAACTAATTAAATATTAACTAGGCCTATGTGTAATATTATAGAATGATTTAAAAATATGTTGCATACATGTGTATATCAATATCAAAATTGCAACTTCAAAGTAAATAATTATACTAATTTATTTAAACAGTAATTTTTAGAATAATTTTTAAAAAATAATTTTAATCATACAAAAAAATGTCTGTGTCATGTGCACTGTGTGTGTAAAATTCTGCTTAACTTTTAAAATTATTAAAATAAGGTTAACAATGCTATTTACAATTTTTGGGACATTTAAAGCTATACAAGATTTAGATTGTGTATTGACATTGAAAGTACTTCAACAGTTATAGCTTCTGACAAGTGATGCAAAGTCTCTGATTCGATACCTGGTTATCTTATAATAAATTTCATCATTAAAATTTATTAAAACATAAAAAAAAATTTTAGTTTACCAGATATGATACAAGAATCCAAATACATGTACACATGTACATGTATTGAAGACCTTTCCTTTGTTTAGGACTTCATTTTGTTGATATGATATTTCATCCGTCACTTGTGTATATTTTTGTAACAATACAATCCGACTTCCCTGTTTCTATTTCATGCACATCTAACAAGAAGTCTGTGAGCCAATGCTCACCAATCAAACCCCTGCTCTGATGTGAATATACAATATTATATCAATAAACTGAAGTTACAGTTACTGGCAGATGCACAGACCAATAGGAAGTTGACATCCGATTCATAGAAAAATGAAACCCCACCAAAAGGCATGTCTCAGCAAAGAATGTGCTAAACTTTCAAGCATCACTAGCTGTGATGGGTAGTTGCTGAGAAAACTGCAACCAAAAATTTGTTTTGGACAGACAGAAGGACTGGCACACACGAGTAAAACTGTATTCCCTCTCTCCTTTGGATGGGGTATAAAAATAGAATTTATACATCCTATGTTTATTTTCATTACTTATACATACACTGCATATGAAATCTCAGTGATTGTATAGCTGCGGAAATATATAATTCAATTGAAAGAAAGGTCTCAGAAGTACTGTAGACAAAATATCTGGCTTATATTCCTCATGAAAAAATTTAAGCAGGTATCCTACTCTTTCTTAAGCATATTCATTTTGAATATAGTCAAACTATTTTTATGATTGAAGAAAAAAAAAACAAGGAAAAATAACATAGTATCTTTATCAATCAGTCGGACAATAAGTGAAAAATTTGCATTCAGCAGAAAACAAGGATTCCTCAATATCCTTTTTGTATGATCATTGTACAACAATCCCCTACTCTCCCCCTCCCCTGAAAAACTGTATATGAAAAAAGAATTACAAATTTAGTGAAATTAGATTCTTTGATTCACTCATCAATGGATCACTGTATAATGTTTAGCAATTTATGAAGCAGACATGAAAGAAACCATATGTGGATAGTGGTGTTACCATGTACCCCTCAATAATTAAATCCAATGGATACAATATATACACATCACACAATACAATAAGCTTATCTATACAGTTGTCCTTTCCCCCCACTTATTAATATGAACATTGATTTTGTTTGTCAAAACATTAGTTTTCAGTTGATCCTGGCCCTCTTCCTTCATCACCCTGAAATTTCTTCAACAGACCTGGCAGCTAGATCTAAGGCTCAATTTTAAAATGTGGGTAAATCACATTCATATTTAAAGCACATGACATTCCAAGGATCACGTGCTAAAGAGAGTCAAGTATTCTTAATTGAAAACAATTTTACATACATGTACAAATTTATTATTTATTATGATTATTTTAATACATGTATTTTTACAAGCTGAAATAAAAATACAAGTTTTAATATCATGTCAATTTTTTTCTTTCCCTTTAAATTTATAGCTCTTATTGTAACAACTTTGAAAAAAAAAACAACATTCATTTGATTTTTCTGAGTATACATGTAAATATATGCAAAGACATTGCATATAATAAAGAAAGTATGATAAGTATTTACATTTTATTTCAAATAGTTGTAATATAACATGTATAACGTGTTCAAGAAATATGTCAGTCTGCAAACATCTTGGTCAAATTGGTAAAATTAAAATATCCATGGCAAATTTAAACTTTAATATTTAGTTGAAGCTAAGGCCATTCCAAGTTTTTTCTCTGTTTAGTGTCCACCCATCTTTCAAAAACCTAGCTAACTATTCGCTAAAAACACACAGGTACAAAAAAAATAATAAAACACATAAAGTAAGTAATTTATTTATTTATAGTGACATGTGTACATAATTACATTCGTTTGTTTACAGACTGTATAAAACAACAATCAACACCCGGCCCATCGGGCCTATATGCCACTTTAAACACAATATTGAAATGCAATATATAAAGAAAATAAAGAGCACAACGTTAAATAATAACCAAAAAAGTGCATGAAAAGTAAACATAATTGTAATAAATACATATTTTATATGCATTTTGTATGCTAAGATTGGTAGTGTCTGTTATAAAGATAAAAAATTGTTAGATGAAAATGACATTGAAATATTATTTTATTTTTTGAACATAAAGGATTGTCTTCGCATAAATGAAAAATACAAGTACTTTGCAACCTGTCTAGGATAATTTAAGATAAGTAAACAATTAGTAAATCCATATCTGACCACCCCATTTGATTAATGCCAGTATTTTCAAAAAGTTTTGATCGATATTCAGAGTAAAAAGGACAATGCAGTAAAAAATGAATTTCGTCTTCCACATTGTTTCTAAATATAAATAAAATGATCCTAACAGATTCACCATGATATCTACCGGTTTCTATTCGTAAAGGTAAAATGCCACATCTAAATTGTGCTAAAATTGAACGTAAATATTTAGGCATATCAAGTACTACATAATTTTCCCTACCAAACATTGTTTTAAAATTAACATAAGTCCGCAGCTTTGGAATTCCTAAAATCTCATTGCTCCAAAGGTTTGAGTAATAATAATTTTTTATTGTGTATTTTTGATTGAACCATATTTATATCTATCATAAGCTTTGACTCAAAATAGTAATCCAGCTCTAGTTGGTGTAATATATCTTTCAAATCACTGCACCAGTTATTCCTACACTTATTGTAATCAACTTCAAAAACAGTTCTTGTAATTCGATCATTGTCAAAGGATAAAACTCTATTCCAATATCTGTTATAAAATCCAACGTCTATATTGAAGAATCCATCCAGTGTCTCCATAAACCCCCAATGTAGGAGCAAAACGGTGAACCCCAATAAAATACCGAATAGCTCTGTTTTATTATTTTACATATTTTATAGTTATATAAATGACGTAATTCAAAAGATATGATTTTATTTATCTATTTTTCATACAGAAAGTTATTTTCTTCAGCAAAATCAAGGCATTAAATACTAAAACTATTCCAATAATGAAATACATGTATTATACAAATATTCAGATATATTGCTGGAAATCAAAAATTTTGACCTGAATAATCAATTTTCGAACTCCTAATTCTGTTTGTTTTTTTTTCTGATATGGGGTGTCAAAAACCAAGGCACATGCAGACACTAAACATAAAAAAAATTGGAATGGCCTAATCAGTATTAATAAGTGTACTTTATCTTTCAACAAAAATATGTACATGAGCGTTATTCTTAAGTTCATAAAAAATTTGTCCTAGCAATTTCAAAAGGACAATGTAAAGCCCTCTCTCGTTCAGTTTCTACCACAAAATAGACTGTATATGATTTCTCTACATTTAATCAAGATGAGATAAAATCCATGCATGGATATCATGACTTTTGATTATTGTTATCCCATACGAGTCCAACAGCTACATGGTAGGGCTGCCGCAGTCTGGATTTGAATTGAGGATTCTTCAAAATCTGTAATGAGGAGATTATACATTTTAAAGGAGTAGGACCAATATTCTTCAGAGTTTAATATCTATGATTTTATCAGATAGAAATCTGTTTTAAGTTTTAACAGAAATAGCACAGAGACTATCATTTATGATAATTAATACAATTTTATAAAATGATTATAATAATGAATATAAAGTCATTTTGAATCTACAAGTGGTTTCAAATCATTAGAAATAGCCTTGATTTATTAAACAGTTTCAAAAACCTGCAGCACATTTCACACATTTCTCGACATCTTTCTCAAGATGAGTCATTCAATTATTCAACATAACTGCATTTCAAAGCAAAGATTGCAATAAAGCTAAACAACTTGATCTCCTTTAAATTTGAAACATGTAGAGTTAAAACTTACTTGAGGCATATACTGTTTATATTGCCATGCAGTGTTGAAAGAGCACTCTTCTGAAAAAATAGATAGGTACATGTAAGCATGTATAATTAAAAAAATTTGATAATTTCCTAACGAAATATCTTTGATAATTTTTAAAATCATTGCTGTTAAGTAAGATTCATATATTGTAAATATTCATTTCTTAAAACTAAATATTAACAAAATAAAGATTTGCTTTGCAAATTTGAGGAAGAACTTAGCATATTACGAATTAATTATGTTTGTAATTTGGTGGTATTATGTCACAATGCTACTATATTTATCTACTTTTTGATCCAATTTTATGGGCTTTTTATAACAGATGGAACAAAAAATGCATCATTTTTATTTTCAAACCTTTAAATTCCTTTTTTTAATTTGAATACATGTATTTACACAGGGATTCACTTTAATTTCAAAACTAATTTGTTTAAAATTCAAATAACATGGTTTGAAAGCACAATGACATGTACGTCCTGCTACTTACTTCATGTACTTACTTCGGCCTGTCGTTCTATGAGGAACATCTATTAGGCCATTGACGACAGTCCTCCAACGAACTCAATTTGGAGCTGCTTTAGCTGCATCCTGCCTTGTCATATCCTGCGTTTTTAACTCTGACTCCGAGTCAAGCCTTCAGGTGTTTCTAGGACATCCTCTCTTCTACAATAATATTAAATTGTGTAAAATGGCACAATTTTGCTTCATATGCATGCACCATGGATATTTCTTCTGGAATAACTATACATGAATCAATATTAAAATCCTTTTGGTTTCCTTTTATTTCTTTTTTTTTATTTATTTTATTTCTCCTTGTTTAATTGACTGAACATGAATTTGAGGATAGTCATACCTTATTTTATGCATGTAAAATATTTGCTATATTTATGTACAGTGTATTTTTAAATATATCTAAATATCACTCAATTTTAAATTTTTCTGCAAATAGCTATAGCAATATTCTTAATTACAATAAAAGTATTCAAAATTGCAGTGATGAAAAAAATATTTTCATGGGGAAAAATACTTTTTTCAAGGTGTCTTTATATCTTTTGTATTGTACATGCAAGAGTTTCTGTATAAACAATGTCAATACTAAACCATGAATGACTAGTAATATAGTAAAGTACAGTGAATGTGTAATAAATCAATGACACTTAATTTATATGTATAACATACAAAATATAATTTATTTATATTATATTAATTATATTAATTAAAAATAATGTTCAACCTTGGATATTGTTCATTAGAACTCATCTTATACCGATGTATTAAATTTTTTCGATATCTCACCCCCCTTTGGCCGATTTCAAAGCTCTATAAAAAATTGAATTTTTGTCTCAGGCCTTCGGAAAAAAATTGCCTAGCATCCAAATCATCTCCACCTAAGACCACAAAAATTACAGTACTGAAATATGCCGCATATAGCCAGGGCAATGCAAAACATGACCGACCTCCTAAGTACAGGAAGCGTTTCCTTCGGCCACGTGGTTTTGACAACCTTGAGTAAATATGCAACTTACGTCATTAAAGTGGAAATCAAAGATAAAATACTTGTTTATGGTCAAAAAACATTACCTTGGGGTCTCTTCTGCACACCTAGGAACACTTGTTACGACGCAGGTAAATTATACGCGGCGATTATATTCGCTGCATCGTCAGCTGCGGAGCTCGCCATTATTTTTGTGACGTCAGCCATTGTTTAACCTTGATAGGGACTAAATTACAGGCCTCCCAACAAAGAATGGGTGCACTTTAGTACGTTATTTAAAACCTTTGCGGCTATCCATTTAACTCTTTAAATCACAATATATCGCTAAATAATATCTATCTATGGTTATTTTACATGCATATGCTTTAAATTTGGGAACGACTTTACTTTACCGGTCCCCAGAAAAACGTTCTAAAATGTAGTGTCGTCGAAGGTGAAAATGCTAGACTAACCCTAACGAGTCGAATGCAAGTGCAAGGAATAACTGGATCTGGGGACCGGTAAAGTAAAGTCTACACTAAATTTGTTATTCATGATTTGAATTTTTCGTCATGCATATTTCTAAATTAAAAACAATGCCATTGAAAAGAACATGCATACATGTAAGCCTTAAATACCGAAAGGAGGTAGGTTCACAAACACCATAAAGTGGCCCCGTCCATATATAAAATAAATGACAAGGTCCCTATGTCCCACTTTGAACATCAAAATAAAGTAGAGACTTATTGATTTCATATCCTATAAAAACATTTTCTTTTGAGAGTCCAAGTACATGTATTGAAAAACAGGCTTTGTGATACTGCAAAGTTCTTGCATTTAAAAGAAAATGAGTGAATTTGAACATTTTCTACTTATGTTTGAAATATGAGCCCACCCTGCGATACAAAAAGTTTCTTATGAATAAGAATCTTCTAAAACAGTTCTTTCATTTTATATTTCATCATTTCAGATCAGAGGTATTGGGGCTATGAAAAATATATTCTAATATAGCTTCAATTTGTACGCCATTTTTCAAGAAATTTTTAAAATTTCGGGGAAATTACGCAATTCCTGACTTCACAATACCTAGACTAGAGAGAAAATTACGTCATTTTTAATGTTATGCAGTCACCAAGAATTTAACTTAAATGTTACATATAATCAACTAAAACTGTGCAGATCTGATTTTTCAGAAAGTTATAGGGCCAAAAGAGGCTTAAAGTGAATTGTGTTCTTTGAATTCGACCACTTTCGACTTTAAAGTATCTGCACATAGACGGAGACATTTAAATCGCATGGATTCAGAAATTAAACATTAACACTTGATTTTTTTTCATTTATATTCTAATGAGAAGAGGGATTGGTAAATAAATTTAACATGTAATAAAATATGATAATTTTTTTTAAAATCAAAATAGTCATTGTTATTGGCGAAATTAGAGTACGTGGAAGATATCGCAATGTTAAAATTGCATCAAACAAAACAGCGAAATCTCCTTTCAGGTGGAGACAGGATGTGTACAATACATTTAATGCACCTGTGATTCTTTAACAATGAAACCCTTTTTAACAGACACCTGAGATTTACACCAATTATCGTTCATAACAGCGAACGCTAGAGGCCTACGAAATAGAAGTTTAAACACCTAACTGGTTTGCTTGACTGCTGCAGTTCTTGTGACAAGCACAGGTGAATTTAAAAAAAGGCAAGGTTTTTACAAACATACTATTTTTAGTCCCCTACCGGTGAAACCGGAGGGGACTATAGGTTTCCTCTGCGTCTGTCCGTCCGTCTGTCCGTCCGTCCGTCCGTCTGTCCGTCCCGTCAGTCTGTCCCACTTGGTTTTCCGCACTTTTTTTCTAAACGCTTGCAGATATTGAGCTGAATTTTGGTACGTGTGTGTATCTTAATGAGTTACAGATCAAGTTTGAATTTCGTTTCGCTTCATTGATTTTTGACAGAATTATGGCATTTTGAATATTTTTCATTCCCACTTGGTTTTCCGCACTTTTTTTCTAAACGCTTGCAGATATTGAGCTGAATTTTGGTACGTAAGTGTATCGTAATGAGTTACAGATCAAGTTTGAATTTCGTTTCGCTTCATTGATTTTTGACAAAATTATGGCATTTTGAATATTTTTCATTCCCATTTGGTTTTCCGCACTTTTTTTCTAAACGCTTGCAGATATTGAGCTGAATTTTGGTACATGAGTGTATCTTAATGAGCTACAGATCAAGTTTGAATTTCATTTCGCTTCATTGATTTTTGACAGAATTATGGCATTTTGAATATTTTTCATAATGGCTTAATTAAGATCGGGTTCGAACTGCGCCAACTTCCGATTGTCGACAAAAATATGAAACGAGGAAAAGAAGATGGATAAATGAGTTGAATTTTCGTCTTAATGTTCATTATTTTATTAGATTTAAGGCATTTACAACTTGAAAATCTTTCAGTTTAACCTTGGACATGACTTTTGCATATTAAAAAATGACATCCTGAAGAAAAAGGGGAACCCGGTAGGGGACATGTATTGCTTATGCAATACTCTCAGAATGCTTGTTTTTTTCTGTGACGGCTGAGTAGAATTCTAACATCACTGCTAATAGCTCAAATTTGTTTTGCATAATTATTTTTTCAAGCCAAATTGAATTTCAAATTTCAATTTTACGTAAAAGTTAAATATGACCAGGAATACTTACAGATGCAAAAAAAAGATATAACTTTTATATCTTTTAATAACTATGTAATTATTACTATGAAACAATGTATTATGTAACTTTGTTTTGCTTAAATGTTCTAGTTTCTTTATACTTTATAACACTCATTTTTTTAACAGTCTGTTATCTACTGAAGATAAAGTTTACCTGTAAAACACATCCAACAAACAAACCACTGAAGTTTTGTAAAGACTGTGCTGTTCCCGTGTGTATTAATTCCACAATCTTTTGGAAGCACATTCTTAAAATCTTAAAAGGTACCATGGAAGTTGATTGATAAGATAAAAAATGATAATAAATCCATTAAACAATACAAGAAAAGGAGTAGAGCAAACACGGACCTCCAAAACATCAGATTTGGGATCAGGTGTCATGGATAATTGAGCATCTTTCTCCGACCTGTCACACCCGCCGTATGCTAGTTCTTTTTCATGATCGATGATCGGGAAATAACGCGAAATAGCCATCATCAATCAGTGTATGAATAATGGATTAAGAATTAGTATGAAAAACATCTGTCAGCATTTGACACAGTGGTAACTTGTATTTTGCCTGACAAGGTCATTGTATCGACCGTAGACGTTACCAAATGATGATTATAAATGAGACTGCTGATATACTTATTTCATCAACTTCTTTGTCAATAATTTACCTCGTTTAAGGATTATTTCGTGCTCTTGCGTATCGAATCAACTGAAATATATATGCACCGTTTGCAGGTGATGAAGGTATATTGCTGCATAAACTAGGAAGTTGACGATAAAAAAGTTAAAGTCATCACGTTTATCATGTTGCTTGGTTGTTATATTACCATTAGCGTCTCTTTCATTGACAAGTAAAATATCTAAATATGAAACAGATGTGTCAGACTCTGTGGTATCTTTTATCTCAAGCTTACCAGGATATACATATCGTATCGACATAGGAATGGAAATTACCATTTTAAATTGACAATACGTCGTTGATATACCTAAAGTTCGAGTTGAAGACCAAAACAAATGTTTTCTTCTTTTCATGTATAAAAATTTGAACAAATTCTGCTTGATATAAATGCAAAAAAAGATCTGCTAATAACGGGGCGACGTTGGTTCCCAGAGGAATTCCAATAGATTGTTGGAAGACATATGCATGGTCTCTAAAAACAACACAGACATTGTCAATCAGAAATTCAATTTTCTGGTTTCAACTTTGGAGTATTTTGGTGTATAATTAGAATATTTTTTTTAACAAAAAAAAATTGCATATGACCAACGACAGGGTACTTAGATTTAAAGACTGATATTTTTGTGATTTATTTCAACAATTCAAAATACTTATATTATCATATTT